GCCTTACTTTTTTGCTGTTTTATGCCCACTTATGAAAAATAGAAAAAGTCGCTAAAAATGGACGAAAAGTTAAGCCTAGAACTGGTGTCCGACCGAACTGTAGCTTTGTCCGACGTAAATCAAAATGTACCCTAGCCCAGGACTAGAGGCTTGTATGTTAATGAAAAATCAGAGTACCATTGTATAAAAGATGAACTGGAATTGTTGTTTTAACGTAGAAATGGTGAAGTGGAAAACGGGCTTAAGTTGTCGAAGTCTTTTTTAACACTGCGCAGCTGTTCTGGCAAGCAAGTTAATTTTGGCTTGGAAATAAGTATGAAAGAAACAAATTATTTAACATCTTTACAACATTTACCGTTTATTCATTTGTGTCATTCAGACTCATTTCCGAGCCAAAACTGAACTGAAGGTCATCGGCCATATGTCCGACCCAAACTCAGCATCACCGGACATTTTGTCAGACGGCCCTGTAAAAGATATTTTAAGGCCTGGGTCCGAAAAAATGCCAGGAACGACCTAAGTAATTTTACATTCCGAACATAGTTTGTTTATTGTGTGAAAATGTATTTGGACTCCCAGGCTAGCCATGCGCAATATACACACATAAAAACGCACAAGTTGTAACAAGTCTGCCAACAAGCCGTCAACAAGATGTATTCGCACTGCTTGTCACAAGTTGTCAACATGTTTGGAACAACTTGTTGACAACTTGTAACAACCTTGTCGAAATTATCAGACTTGTTGCAAGGTTGTTCTGACAAGTCTGTTACATGCTTGATATAACAAGATTGTTACAACCTTGTGTTGACAACCTTGTAACATCCTTGTTATATCATGGCTGTAACAAACTTGTTAGCACAGTCTTGTAACAAGGCTGATAATGCCATCAAGCTTGTTACAAGTTGTTAACAGCTTGTTTCAAACTTGTTACAACAAACTGGGAACAAGCAATGCAAACACAACTTGTTGACAGCTTGTGAACAGACTTGTGACAGCTTGTTTGCAGACTTGTTACAACTTGTGCGTTTCTACATGTGTAGTTAACTGAACTTTTAGAGATTGTCCGAGGGTATGCCAGGAAAATAGTTTAATTCTGAGTGCGCTTACCAACATTTTGGGGGCAGTTTATTGTGAATGATATAAGTCTTCCTGATCAGGCCAAAAAAAATATATGGGTTTCCGGTTTCCCGACCCTACCTAGCTTTTGGACGTCGAAATCCCGACCCTAAACTTTTTTATTGGATCATGCTTGTAAGTGTTTCCACTTAGAGGAAAAAGTTTGTGGAAAATTGAAATTTGAGGCAATATTAGGGAAATTTATCTTTGGATGTGGAAGCACTGACTAAACAAAATGGCGTCCGCTTATTCGGAAAATTAAAAAAAAAGTTTAAAAAAAAAGTTAAAACCGACCTACCCTACCTAAGATTTTACAAGAGGAAACCGGAAACCCACATATTTTTTTTTGGCCTCATAAGAAATTTCTTGTTGATCATTGATCGGTGTAAACTAAAATATTACTAGTCACATACACATGTCGGCATCACATACACATGGTTTTGACATGCATTTCACAAACCTTGCCAATTTTGCCAGGATTGTAGATCAGAGGCCGGTTGTTCAAAGGTGGATTAGCGCTAATCCAGGTTTAAAATTTAACCCACTGTTTTAGTTTGCATATTTCCGCATGTCCCATTTATTTCAAAATGTGAGAAAAGAAAACTATTGATCCAGACATGATTTCTGAAGAAAATTTCCAAATTCATAAACAAGCTGTTAGGAAGTGTACTTTACAGGCATAGATATCTTATATACACTAGATAGTGCATCTAATTATTCTGCAATTCAAAAATTGAAGCCGTGATTGCAGTCTCAGGTCGTTCCCATGAAATGAAAAGATTCGTATGTTTTCTATTTCTTAAACACGGAACTTAAACATTAAGTTAACCATATTCCAAATACGTTTTTAAACTATTCAAATGTTGAAAGTTATTGTTGTTTTTAAGCGTTTATTAGCAAGTGGGAACGACCAACATGGCCGCCATCTATTCAAATGAGGGTAACCGCTGGAATGTTCTTGGCTTCAATTTTACTAAAAGAGATGCGCTATCTAGTGTATATAAGATATCTATGTTTACAGGCCTTAAAATATCGGTCGGTCACGGACATTGTCCGACCCATTCGTGAAATTGTCCGACGTAGAGAGGAAATCACAAGGGTGGGTTGACTACAAAATTTTTATAGTTCGCTATAACTACAGCTACTTCAAAAATATGTAGTCAGCTACAACTACTGCTACTTTTGAACAAAGGTAGTTCGCTACTGACTACAGCTACTGCTTAAAAAATGTAGCGAACTATTTCGCTACGCTATATATATATATATATATATATATTTTAGTTTTACTGTATTTGGAGCATCCACTAACTCAGGCTGAAATGTAACCTGTAACAAATCGACTTACGCGTAGCAACAGTAAACACAAAGCAACATTTTTGTAAGCACTACGGTGTTCAAGAGTTCAAATTGACTATTGAATATTGATTTAAGCAAACCGTGTCTCATCATGCTATTCTATCAAGTTGCTAACAATTTTAAAAAGTAGCGAATAGCGATTCGCTGTTTGAAAAGTAGTCAACTACTTGGCTACTTTTAGGCAAAATGTAGTTCGCTATAACTACAGCTACTGTTTTGAGAAAGTAGTTAAAAACTACTGGCTACTTGAAAATTGTAGTTCGCTACAGTAGCGACTGAACTACAACTACTTCGCTACTACCCACCCTTGGGAAACCACCGGACAGTCTGTCCGACCAAAGTGAAACTGAGGTTTACTGTTTGTCCGACCCAAGTGAATTGGTGTCCGACCGAACTGTAGCTTTGTCCGACGTAGATCAAAATGTACCCTGGGCCAGGACTATAGAGGCTTGTATGTAAATGGAAATCAGAGTACTATTGTATAAAACGTGAACTGGAAATGTTGTTTTAACGTAGTCGAGCGCGGGGCTGCGAGCGAAATGGTGAAGTGGAAAACGGGCTTAAGGTTACTCCACATGATGGAAGGCCATTTCACCAAAACGCTCACCCCGCGCTCAATTTTCAGGTTTTCCCCTTCAAATTTTGCATGCATATAATGATAAATCATTGCTGTAGCTAACGATTTGCCAAAAATTCTACATCTTTAAAAAATGTACTTGCTACGGGTTGCTTTTGAAAATATGACGGCCTTTGCGCCACGAGATTAGAATGCTTCTGATTTTTCTGAAAGGCTTCCGAAACATAATATTTCTCATCTCAAATGATCAAAGAACAAAACCGTGTTCGCGTTTTTTGACAGGTGTTGTATCTGCTTTGATATAAAGCAGAGAAGTTGACTCATCTAAATTTTGGGAGAACGGCAGAACAGATGCCTATAACTTGAAAAGTATGGCACTAAATAAAAAACGCGAACACGGTTTTGCTCCTGAACTATTGTTCAACATTGTGGCAAAGTTTGGAGGGAATCGAATAAAACGTGCGCGTTTCTAAACAATTTCTGTGGGGACAATCTGAGAATATTTCAATCTCCGTAAAAGACGATATTAGATTTGGCGGGGTTTTTCCGCTCTGTGTTATCATCTCGAACTGTAATCGGATTAAAATTAGTAAAGTGTGTTTTGGCAAGGGTTTTAGGTGCCATTCACTCATTATCAGTTTATCACAAACCGTACATGCGAGAAACCACACAAAAAAACTTGCTAATATGCCGGCGAAACGCAAATGTAAAAAGGGGATAGCTATACAGACCGATCTAAATTGGCCAAACGAAAATGCAGTAGAGGATCTGTCGTGCACCACGAAGACACCAGCGAGGTTGAAGGTCACACATCCGGTATCAAGTATCACATCAAGCCACATATTGTCATTTACAATTACAACTTTCGCGGCAAAAGAATAAGTGGTTATAACATTTTTTGTTATATTTCGGACGCATTTTAATATTTTTGAAAAAAACTTGCGGCAATCGAGAGATTTCCAGCCCCTGAATATGAATCAATAAAAATGTAAAAAATGATGAAATCAGTGTTTTCATCATATAATGTAACCTTAATGTTGTCGAAGTCTTTTTTTAACACTGCTGTTCTGGCAAGCAAATTAATTTTGGCTTGGAAATAAGTATGAAAGAAACAAATTATTTAACATCTTTACAGCATTTACCGTTTATTCATTTGTGTCATTCAGACTCATTTCCGAGCCAAAACTGAACTGAAGGTCATCGGCCATATGTCCGATCCAAACTCAGCGTTACCGGACATTTTGTCAGACGGCCATGTAAAATATATTTTAAGGCCTGTACTTTGAATTTTAAGTTAACCTAGGGTTAGGCTAATCGGCTTTTGAACAACCGGCCCCAGGTTAAGTTTTCGAAAAAGAAACGACAATAGAATAGCTAAGTCAAAATTTCATTTTATTCTCTCCTTTAAAAATTAAATATGTACAGTAGTGATATGTGTATTAATTTACTAATGCATTTGAGAACACTCACCAAGTTGATGCCAGACTTTTTTCAAACTAGTACTGTACACCAACATTTAAATGTTTAACCCATTAAGCTGCAGAGCTTCCCCATTGACGAGTAAAATCGTCTGGCATTAGACAAGTAAAAAAAATAAGTTGGGCGCACTGGAGCGCATTGCGGCTCAATGGGTTAACTAGAGACATTGTCATATTTCTTGGTTAACCCATTAAGCTGCAGAGCTTCCCCATTGACGAATAAAATCGTCTGGTGTTAGACAAGTAAAAAAAAAGTAGGGCGCACTGGGGCGCATTCTGGCTCAATGGGTTAACTAGAGACATTGTCAGATTTTTTGGTTAATTTAACCCATTAACCTGCAGAGCTTCCCCATTGACGAATAAAATCGTCTGGTGTTAGACAAGTGAAAAAAAAGTAGGGCGCACTGGGGCGCATTGTGGCTCAATGGGTTATTAAACACCAGATTCTTTTTCTCTGGCTAATGCCAGGATATTTTTATTCTGCCTACCACCAGACGATTTTACTCGTCAAGGGGAGAGTGCTGCCCCTCGATGGGTTAATTAGACAATATCTGCCAATGTATACTGTTACTGGATTAATGTCCAAGACTCTTTCCTTGATGAGTAAATTCATTGGCTGTTAGTTAGAATACAAAAATAAAGTTGGGAGCATTGCAGCTTAATCAGTTAATCTTATTCATTTTAGACAACAGCAGTTGAACTATGTGACACAGGAACTGTTATCAATGTACACAAGCCAATCAAGTCTATCCTTGGACAACCAAAAACATTTCTCCAACGTGTTGTCATTCTTGGATGCGTTAGTTCATTTGGATTTGCAGATGAAGTACTTAAAAGGTCAGTTTAATTAGTTTGTATCATATTAACTATAGGGGTGCACCGGAACCAATTTTTAAAGTTCCGGCCGGAACCGGATCCGACCGGAACTGGAAAAAAGTTCCGGCCGGAACCGGAACTAATTTATTAAGCCATATATAGTCCTATGTTACTTTGTCCGCTGCCAGACAGGCACACAGTTCAAGTCACCAATGAGAGAGCTCGCAAATGTTAGAATAACAAACGTTAAACGTCATAATGAAGTGTTAATAGTGTACATTTCTCTTGCGCAGTCCAACTTTCTTCTTACTGTGACCTTTTGTTGGACACAAAAACGTTTTATATATTATCTCTCTGAAAACGACAGAGTTCCGGTTCCGGCCATGCTTTTTTTATTAGTTCCGGCCGGAACTCTGAAAAATCGGGTTTCCGGTCGGAACTAACCTGCCGGAACCGAGTTCCGGTGCACCCCTAATTAACTAACGACTATTATACTGTACAAATAATATGAAAATTTTCCTCCAATCATCCCCCAGCCGCCTCTATGTTTTCCAAGTCCGTTTCCAAAAGTAAAGAAATATACTCAAATTCTTGTGGGTAGCCAAAAATATTTCTTCCATCAAATTAAGGTTTTTTTAGGGATTTTTTAGAGCGGCCCCAAAAACTCAATCTCGAATTGAGTTTTGAAACTCGATCTTCTGACCAAAAGTTTCATTGTGGTAAAAATGAAGTTGTTTGAGTTACATTTGTGACGTGTGGGAATTAGTTTTCAGTTGGAAACCCGACGATTTTTGAAAAATTTCCTGTGTCCTTTCGCATTTTATTACAAAAAATTTTAAAACATGTATTTATCGGTCGAAAGTAATTGTTTTGATGAGAGAAATGTTTCTTGACATTTTTCAAAAAGTTTGAAATAGTTTGGGGGCACTTTGTGAATTTTTGAGAAATTTCCTGTGAATTTTACCAATGCAGCATATAAATTATAAATTCTGAATAATAATTGTGTATGCCAATAAGGCAATGTGAATTCTATTGGCATGCAAAATTGTTATTCAGAATTTACAATTTCTATGCTGCATCCGATCTATATTTACCAATCAGGGGATTCTTTTGTAAATACCCACTACCCAAATATTCAGAAGTCTTTACTTTTATGCTAAAATAGAAATAGCATTCCAGAGAATAAATTAATAAAATTATATTCAAATTTAGGCATTTTAGGGTGTGTTCTCCATCTTTCGCCGTTGCCTTGTGTAGTCCTCGCCTGAGTGTGAAAAGAAGTACTTTAATTAAAGATCAAGATACGACGCTTAAATACAGGAAAGCACAAACTCCGAAGTTAAAGACAGGATTAAGGTATGTTTTATCAATTTCATGTGAAATGTTGATATATTTTCCTGAGTGAAAAGTGGTTGAAAGTACTTGTCGAAATTTACGATCGCAAGTCGCTTTGTGTTCTACGTTTTGTGGTGGTTTATATAGATACTGAATTCAGTGGTGTAACAGAGGAACCCTTTGGCATATTTGGTGTGGGGGCCCCTGTTAACTGTTGTTATTGTTTGCATGAGATGTTATATTTAGCTATATTCCCCTCTATAACAATCACAGCTCCAACACAACTAAGGAGCCGATTATCTGGAGCTCTTTCAACCCAAGGGTTGAACTCAGTGCTGTTAACCGGTTTGAAATTTTTGTGATTACATGGATGATTTTGACCCCAGGGTTGAAATGCTATATGTCCCTGGCATTGATTCCTGGAAGTACAAAAATGGCTCCATAGCCTCCATTTTGTTTTCTTGTAATAAATAGTCACTACCACGCATGCTCGAGTAAGTAACATTAAAATTACATGACAAAATTTTCAACCCAGGACAGAGTTTTCCCTGCTGGCAGAGGTCTCTATTGGTAGTGACCTCTGCCAGCAGGGAAGGTTGAATTTCAACCCCGGGGTTGAACTCAGTCCTGCATTTGTTGAAAATTTTGTAATGTAATTGTGCGTTTGATTTTGATAGAGTTTTGTATTACCGACAGGGTTGAAATTTCAACCCGGTCAACAGAGCTGGGTTCAGCCACGGGGTTGAAAATGCTCCATGTAATCGGCTCCTAATAAGAATACCGTTTGTTTTATTTAAGATTTATTATTTAGCATTGTTAATTTTGCATTTTCCCATTGATTCTTAACCTGCATTTTTACATCTTCTCATTTTCTGGCCGACAGGTTGTGGCTGTTAGGGGCGGGAGGGGGGGGGGGTGTGTGTTTGAACTAACCCTACCTAATGAGCGTTACACCACTGACCGAATTATACCTTAACGTTTCGTCAAGTTTAATTCAAATTAGGGTATTTTGAAGCTAAATTTGTTTTTTAAATTCGTCCTTTTAGTGAAAACAAGAAATGTTGAATAGTCTGCTGTGAGGAGACATCGGCCATTGTAATGAACGGATGATAATGTGAGTCGCTGGCAAACCTACAGCCCCTACTGCGATAGGGCAGTCAAGTATTTTTAACCTGCACATTTTTGTTTTTATTTCCCCTATTTTATTTTATGTTCATAAATATCATGACTTTAATGTTGGAAGGAGTTGAGAGTCCCCACTCAACTGCATGCCTTCTGAATAATAATTATAGACTCCATTTTACATGCTACCATTTTACCTGTGAGAATTTGTTGAAAATTTTGAGATTTGAAAGCCATTGCTTTCAACTATATAGAGCCCAACTATATGTCATTGGCTCTGGGAATAAATGGGTGTACTGTTTGTACATGTTGAATGGCTGGAAGTGTTGCAGGTATCTTGGGATATCTAATAAAGTTGTTATATTTCCGTTCTGTTTCTATAAAGGCCCAGCTTACTATGGCTAATATGCCTTAGCCTAAAAATTTCAGTTATTTTTCAATTAAAACATTTTCCATAAAGAACAGCTTGCTATGGCTGTATGCCTTAGGCTGAAAAATTTCAACATTAATTAAATTTAGCATTTCACTATATTCCTTAAAAGCTTTTGAAATAGACATCACAGTTTATTGATATTTCAAATTTATTAAGATTCACTGTCCATGTGTGTTATGATGAAAGGCAAGTATAAAGTGCCATTCATTGGAGTAAAAGTGTATGTATGTTTTATAAAACTGTGCAGTAGTTTTACACAACTATATATAGTGTTACCAAACTGCATGCTAAAAGTTTCAGTTGACTGTTAGAATGGTGGCTTGTAATTGGGGGTATCTGGCTAGGATTTGACATTTAAATATTTACAAGTGCATTAGATCTCTTAGGTTTTAGTTTAAGGCCAACATGAGCGAGTGAGATAAACTCGACTACCTAAGTTAAGGCATCAAGCGTGAATTCCACGCACTAGACCCCTCAGGATCGGACCCCAAACCTTTTTTCAACACCAAATGTGAAATTACCCCCACCTTACCACATCATTGAAGAGTTATGGTGGATATTTTGGGCAAATGTGCAATATCATCAGGAATATCTTGGGCAAATGTGCAATATGATGAGTGCAATATGATGAGGGATATCTTGGCAAATATGTTGGTTAAATTTATCTTAAATTGCTAAAGAACAATGATGTAAGGTTTGTGGATATTTATATTAGCGATAAAATGGGGGTTCCTTGCCATAGGAACGAAGTAAGGCTGGCTATCAGCCAGTGGAAACAATAAGGCAAATTTCAATATGGCGGAGTGTAACAATCTAACAATATAGACTTTGATAGCTTGAACGAAAGTTTTTAACGATGTTTTTCTTTGCAAAAACTGTACTTTCGAAATTCTTCAGCTTCTGAATTTGAAAACCGATCACACGCATTACAAATGCAGCAACGCAACAGTTTAGACAGGGTCATGAGGCAGGATGTGTACAAGAAAAGCTTTGCCAGAGTTTTGTCTTTTGAAATAGAACGACGATTGGAAATTGCTGTTTGATTCTTTGTAATATCTTGTCGCTTGTTAGTAAAAAAGAAATTTGTCACTTTCCTCATCTAAACCTTTTTTCAAAAAACTGGCATCGTTTGTCTTGGGGTTAGGGGGTACAAATGGTACCCATAGCTTAGAGGGTGCAAATGGTACCCGTAAGAAGACTTCGTGGAAATCGTGTTGGTCGTTTGGATTGGCGGGAATAAGACAATTATGGCGGCAAAGTTTTTTTTAAACATTTTCTCTCCCGTAGTAAGGTAAAGCATGTATTTTCCTGGTAGCCGGTCTTACTTCATGAAAAAACAGTCCGCTACCAGTGACTAGGTCCCCTCTCTTATGGCGATCATTGCGGCTCAATGTGTTCAATGGAACACAAAGGTATTCAGGCATGTAATACTATGGTCCGTCGCGTGCGCAAAATAGTTAGGGAGATAGACAGTTTAGAAGCGTCCAAACTGCGCAATACACACTCGCACGAAACGTAAAAATAAAATGGCTTAACAAAACTGCGAAAACAAAAAATTGACAACTTTGCCATTTTGAGCGTGTGCAATAGGGCGTGCGCACGCACAAAGTTTTTTCAGAAGATGTTCTGGTTTTAACTTAAATAATAAAAAGCAGTGTCCGTGGTCGGGGCTGAATAGTACTGTGGAAGATTGGGTTGGAAATTTACAATTAAGATCTGTATTTTTGGACAATTGTTACTTTTTGAAAAATAGTATCCTACTGTTGTAAGATAACATCTAAAGGATTTGGCAACAATGATGTTCAAAGAGGATGTTAGCCCTAAAGTTTATTTCATAAAATGAGTTATCTTTATGTATACTCAATTACAAGACAGTTAAAAAATTTTCTGGCTCAAATTTTATCTCATAAAATGATTTTTCTCAGAATACTCAATTACATGACAACTGAAAAAGAATATTTGTTAAGTCAAAAGTTTAATAATATTTATCGTAATTCAAATTCAAAGTGACTTTGGCTCAAATTTTATGCCCGAGTGGATTGTGTCCACAGAAACCCGAGGTATTATACTAGATACGAAATACAACGTTTTTGAAAAACATTCAAACTAAGTCTAAGGTCAGTTAGATAAGCTTTTCATAGTCGTAAGTCAGAGCATAATACTCGCCTTTTAAGCAAAAGCGAAAAGATTATTTTCGCCACAATTTCACGTAAACCCAAACGTGGTGATGGAATTTCCCAGCAATTATTTGTGCTGAATTTGTACTAAATCGAGAAATTTAACCAAAATATAATTTTGCCCTCACCTGGTTAGATAATCAAGATTTGTGACGATATCGACACCACCCTGGGGGGGGTCAATATATTAGAAGTTTGATTAGTACTAAGTTGTATTATTAGTACTGAAATCATGGCTTTGACAGGGTTGACTTAGCCTGAAAACCCAATAATTTCCCATTCCTTCTCTGTAATATGCATCTTTAGTTTACTTTTATACATCTTTACGTAAATATGCTTCATATTAGATCCATATGACAAGTTGGGTATCCTATAACATAGATATGGCAGGCCCTCTACTCTCTGGAGATAAATTGGAACAGATTGGCTGAAATTGAGTATACTTTAAAGAGACTTTAATGAAATAAAATTTGGGGCTAATGGCTTAATGCATATGTCGTCTTTCGTTTAAAGGAAAAATACCACACTCTCTAAGCGTCATTGTTGCCAGTAGTTGTGTATAAGCTTTATGAAAAAAATCAACGTCTTGAGATTTTGTTTTACTTATATAACTAACATGCTTTTTGTTTTTCAACAAGTAATAATGGTCTAGAAATACAGATTTAAATTGCACATGTTAGTTTCTTCACTTATTATTAGCATGACAAAATTACTGGATGCTGATTGGTTGAGATGAATACAATTATTTCATTAATTATACTGCAGTACAATGAATGATTTTCCCACAACAAACAAAGTGGCAGAAAGGTATTTTAAACACAAGCGTGAAATGAAATTGCGCTAGAGGAACTAGATGAAAATACGAACAAAAGCACCACATTTTGGTTGAAAGTATGGCAGGACTGGGCGTAAATTGGTGAGAGAATATATGATGTTAACATTGAGAAGTATACAATTTTGTGTCATGCCAATAATAAACAAGTAATCATGCGATGTTGCTCGTACAATTAGGGATTAATAGTACTCGTGATGTTTGGAAATTTTGCCAAATTGAACTCGCCACGGCGGCTCGTCTTATTTTGGCAAAATTTCCAAGCATCACTCGTACTATTAATCCCTAATTTTACTCGCCATCGCATGATTACTACAATTATTGCGAAATTGTGCGTTTATCACATTAAAATTAGTAAGGTCTGTGAACACTGGCACAACTGCTTGTTCTCATGCATAAATTTTTAACTAGTTTTTGGGATTGGATTTATTCAAATTTGAGGTGATTTTGAACACATATTGGTATGTTACTCATTCTATGAGTAAAATATTGTTCTTTATACTTTGTTCTAGTTTTTTTATAGCTTTTATTGTCTTAGCAGTTAAAATATATGTGATTGTTTACGAAATATATTGAATTATTTGTTATTCGTTCATTTTATACATGACGAAACCCGAAATTAATAGTTTGATGCTCACAAAAAATTTGAGCATAAAAATGTTAAAATTGTGCACCAAAACACTAGCTATTATATTTGAAATCACTGGAACACAACTAGTTTTAAATACTTTGAATTTAGTTTCATAACATGCAGTATTTCAAAAGTTTTGAAACAGGTAATCGATCAGAACTTTTGGGATATGCTTGCATGTCTGAAATTCAATTCAAACGTATTTAAAACTAGTTGTGTTCCAGTTATTTCAAAAATATGACATCTGGTGTTTTGGTGTACAATTTTAACATTTTTATGCTCAAATTTTTTGTGACCATCAAACCATTAATTTCGGGTTTCGTCATGCATAAAATGAACGAACAATTAACAAATAATTCGATATATTTCGTAAACAATCGCATATATTTCAACTGCTAAGACAATAAAAGCTATAAAAAAACTAGAACAAAGTATAAACGAACAATATTTTACTCATAGAATGACTAACATACCAATATGTGTTCAAAATCACCTCAAATTTGAATAAATGCAATCCCAAAAACTAGTTAAAAATTTATGCATGAAACAAGCAGTTGTGCCAATGTTCACAGACAATTCACAGTACTATTTGGTTTGTGGGTTCAAATCCCAAAACACTTAATTTTTATTTATAAAAAAGGATCCAATGGATCGGATGGATAAATAGATCCTTTTTAAAAGGATCCAAAGGATCCGACGGATCCAATGGATCCGATGAATCCAAAGGATGCAATGGATCCAGAGGATCCGATGGATCCAATGGATCCGATGGATCCAAAGGATCCCGTGGATCCAATGGATGCGATGGATCCAATGGATCCGATGGATCCGATGGGTCCAAAGGATCCGATGGATCCAAAGGATCCGATGGATCCAAAGGATCCGATGGATCCGAAGGATCCAAAGGATCCGATGGATCCAAAGGATCCGATGGATCCAAAGGATCCGATGGATCCATAGGATCCGATGGATCCAAAGGATCCGATGGATCCAAAGGATCCGATGGATCCAAAGGATGCAATGGATCCAGAGGATCCGATGGATCCGATGGATCCCGTGGATCCAATGGATGCGATGGATCCAATGGATGCGATGGATCCAAAGGATCCGATGGATTAATAGATATCTATTAATCCATCCGATCCATTTTTTTATAAATAAAAATTAAGTGTTTTGGGATTTGAACCCACAAACCAAATAGTACTGTGAATTGTCTGTGAACATTGGCACCAACTGCTTGTTCTCATGCATAAATTTTTAACTAATTTTTGGGATTGGATTTATTCAAATTTGAGATGATTTTGAACACATATTGTCGGTATGTTACTCATTCTACGAGTAAAATATTGTTCGTTTATACATTGTTCTAGTTTTTATAGCTTTTATTCAGTAGACATATATGTTGATTTTGTTGAATTATTTGTTAATTATTCGTTCATTTTATACATGATGAAACCCGAAATTTATAGTTTGATGGTCACAACAAATTTGAGCATATAAAAATGTTCAAATTGTACACCAAAAAACACTAGCTGTAATATTTGAACTCACTAGAACACAACTAGTTTTAAATACGTTTGAATTGAATTTCATACATGCAGTATTTCAAATGTTGTGATTGATTATCTGTTTCAAAACTTTTGATATCATGCGTACAGCTATTGAAATAGCAAGGTTGTCCAAGAGCAAAGCGAAAAAGTCGAATACGAGCACGAAAGGCTAACAAGGTTCCTGACTAATGGAGGACAAGGTTCCCGACTAACTGACGACTTAGTTGTTAGCGATTCCCAGCAGCCTTTCGCGCTCGTATTCGACTTTTTCGCTTTGCTTTTGGACAACCTTAATATTGAAATAGCTGTATGCATGATTTCAAAAGTGTTGAAACAGATAATCAATCACAACATTTGAAATACTGCATGTATATGAAATTCAATTCAAACGTATTTAAAACTAGTTGTATTCTAGTGAGTTCAAATATTACAGCTAGTGTGCTGGTGTACAATTTGAACATTTTTATATGCTCAAATTTGTTGTGACCATCAAACTATAAATTTCGGGTTTCATCATGCATAAAATGAACGAATAATTAACAAATAATTCAACAAAATCAACATATATTTCGACTGTTAAAACAATAAAAGCTATAAAAACTAGAACAATGTATAAACGAACAATATTTTACTCGCAGCATTAGTAACATACCAATAATATGTGTTCAAAATCATCTCAAATTTGAACAAATCCAATCCCAAAAATTAGTTAAAAATTTATGCATGAGAACAAGTAGTTGTGCCAATGTTCACAGACCTTACTAATTTTAATAGTGTGATAAGCGCACAATTTTGCAATAATTGTGCAGTTACAGAAGAAACTTACTAACATGTGCAATATAAATCTGTATTTCTAGACCATTATTACTTTGTTGAAAACCAAAAAACATGTTAGTTATATAAGTAAAACAAAACCTCAAGACTTTGATTTTTTCATGAAAGTTACACAACTGCTGGCAACAAAGACGTTAAGAGAGTTTCGTATTTTCCTTTAAATGAAAGACAAAGAACGACATATGCATTAAACCTAATATATTAGCCCCAAACTTTCTTGAGTGGAAATGGCCTTATCAATTCAATTATTATTAAACTTTTACTCGAAATTTTTTTAAACTGTCTTGTAATTCAGTATTTTCAAAGATAAATCATTTTATGAAATAAACTTTAGGGCTAACATCCTCTTTGGACATCATGTTGCCAAACCCTTTAGATGTTATTTTACATCAGTAGGATACTATTTTTCAAAGAGTAATAATTGTCCAAAAATACAGATCTTAATTGTAAATTTTGCAACCCAATCTTCCACAGTACTATTCAGCCCCGACCACGGACACTGCTTTTTTATTATTTAAGTTAAAACCAGGACATCCTGTGAAAAAACTTTGTGCATGCGCACGCCCTATTGCGCACGCTCAAAATGGCAAAGTTGTCATTTTTTGGGTTTTTTTTCACAATTTTGTTAAGCCATTTTATTTTTACGTTTTGTGCGAGTGTTTATTGCGCTTCTAAACTGTCTATCTCCCTAACTATTTTGCGCACGCGACGGACCATATTATCCGCATGCAACCACCTTGACTCGCGATTACCGCCATAAGAGAGGGGACCTAGTCGCTGGTAGCGGACTGGTTTTTTTTTCATGAAGTAAGACCGGCTACCAGGACAATACATGCTTTACCTTACTACGGGAGAGAAAATGTTTGAAAAAACTTTGCCACCATAATTGCCTTATTCTCGCCAATCCAAACGACGAACACGATTTCCACCAAGTCTTCTTACGGGTACCATTTGCACCCTCTAAGCTATGGGTACCATTTGTACCCCCTAACCCCAAGACAAACGATGCCAGTTTTTTTGAAAAAAGGTTTAAAAGAGGAAAGTGACAAATTTCTTTTTTACTAACAAATGATAAAATATTACAAAGAATCAAACAGCAATTTCCAATCTTTTATTTCGAAAAACAAAACTCTGGCAAAGCTTTTCTTGTACACATCCTGCCTCATCACCCTGTCTAAACTGTTGCTTTGCTGCGCTTGTAACGCGTGCGGACCAAGGCAGTATATTTACACAAAGGGAAACAATGGCAAAATAAACGAATCATTATAACCATGTAATAACCATACACTCAAATGTTTTCTCTTTTCAGATCGGTTTTCAAATTCAGAAGCTGACGAATTCCGAAAGTACAGTTTTTGAAAAGAAAATCATTGTTATAAACTTTCGTTCAAGCTATCAAAGTCTACTGAACAGAAAATACATCGAATGTCTAAATATACTGAACATTTAGACCCCCCAGGATTTATGCCGGATTTCATTGTACCCAGAACAACAAAACAAACAATGGCTTGGGTACAAGTATCGACATATCTACAATCTATTACCAGGCAAACAAGAAAGAACAGCATCTAACCTTTTTGCTGTTTTTTGTCCCTTTACGAAAAATAGAAAAAATCGCTAAAAGCCTTACTTTTTTGCTGTTTTTTTCCCACTTATGAATGGAAAAAGTCGCTAAAATGAATGAAAAGTTAAGGGTATAGCCTTACTTTTTTGCTGTTTTATGCCCACTTATGAAAAATAGAAAAAGTCGCTAAAAATGGAGGAAAAGTTAAGCCTATAGCCTTACTTTTTTGCTGTTTTTTGCCCACTTATGAAAAATGGGAAAAGTCGCTAAAGTGGATGAAAAGTTAAGGCTATAGCCTTACTTTTTTGCTGTTTTATGCCCACTTATGAAAAATAGAAAAAGTCGCTAAAAATGGACGAAAAGTTAAGCCTATAGCCTTACTTTTTTGCTGTTTTATGCCCACTTATGAAAAATAGAAAAAGTCGCTAAAAATGGACGAAAAGTTAAGCCTATAGCCTTACTTTTTTGCTGTTTTATGCCCACTTATGAAAAATAGAAAAAGTCGCTAAAAATGGACGAAAAGTTAAGCCTATAGCCTTACTTTTTTGCTGTTTTATGCCCACTTATGAAAAATAGAAAAAGTCGCTAAAAATGGACGAAAAGTTAAGCCTATAGCCTTACTTTTTTGCTGTTTTTTGCCCACTTATGAAAAATGGAAAAAGTCGCTAAAATGGATGAAAAGTAAAGCCTATAGCCTTACTTTTTTGCTGTTTTTTGCCCACTTATGAAAAATGGAAAAAGTCGCTAAAATGGATGAAAAGTTAAGGGTATAGCCTTACTTTTTTGCTGTTTTATGCCCACTTATGAAAAATGAAAAAGTCGCTAAAAATGGCGAAATGAAAAATGAAAAAAGTCGCCACTTATGAAAAATAAAAAAGTCGCTAAAATGGATGAAAAGTTATAGCCTTACTTTTTTGCTGTTTTTTGCCCACTTATGAAAAATGAAAAAAGTCGCCAAAAATGGACGAAAAGTTTAGGCTATAGCCTTACTTTTTTGCCCACTTATGAAAAAGAGAAAAAGTCGCTAAAATGAATGAAAAGTAAAGGCTTATATAGGCCTTACTTTTTTGCTGTTTTATGCCCACTTATGAAAAATGAAAAAAGTCGCCAAAAATGGCGAAATGAAAAATGAAAAAAGTCGCCACTTATGAAAAATAGAAAAAGTCGCTAAAATGGATGAAAAGTTATAGCCTTACTTTTTTGCTGTTTTTTGCCCACTTATGAAAAATGAAAAAAGTCGCCAAAAATGGACGAAAAGTTTAGGCTATAGCCTTACTTTTTTGCCCACTTATGAAAAAGAGAAAAAGTCGCTAAAATGAATGAAAAGTAAAGGCTTATATAGGCTTACTTTTTTGCTGGTTTTTTTCCCACTTATGAAAAATGGAAAAAGTCATGAAAAATGGGAAAAGTCGCTAAAATGGATGAAAAGTTAAGGCTATAGCCTTACTTTTTTGCTGTTTTATGCCCACTTATGAAAAATAGAAAAAGTCGCTAAAATGGATGAAAAGTTAAGGCTATAGCCTTACTTTTTTGCTGTTTTATGCCCCACTTATGAAAAATAGAAAAAGTCGCCAAAAATGGACGAAAAGTTAAGGCTATAGCTTACTTTTTTGCTCACTTATGAAAAATGAAAAAAATCGCCAAAAAAGGACGAAAAGTTAAGGCTATAGCTTACTTTTTTGCTCACTTATGAAAAATGAAAAAAATCGCCAAAAAAGGACGAAAAGTTAAGGCTTAGCCTTACTTTTTTGCTGAAAGTTAAGGCTTAGCCTTACTTTTTTGCTGCTTTTTGCCCACTTATGAAAAATGGAAAAAGTCGCTAAAATGGATGAAAAGTAAAGGGTGTAGCCTTACTTTTTTGCCCACTTATGAAAAATGGAAAAAATCATAAGGTTACAGAACACTCGCTAAAATGGATGAAAAGTAAAGGGTGTAGCCTTACTTTTTTGCCCACTTATGAAAAATGGAAAAAATCATAAGGTTACAGAACACCTTTGAGGGTTAATTTTGCCTAAATTTTTGGTTTCTTGGCTAAATTGGTTTCCATGAAAGCATTACACTAGTTCTACTATCTGACCAAATTTGAACGAAAAATGTTGAAAACTCGCAGAGTTATTTAATAAAATACATTTCGCTGCAATAAGAAAAACATTGAAAATGTAATATTCAAATTCAATTTTCTCCCGAAGAATTTTACGGTAATTACCGATTTTCAAACGAGTTGTGCTTCTGCGGGTTTTGACCAATTTTTCTCAAATTTTCACAGGACATAGCTAAAGACGTCAGTTTAAAATTGTGTTCGGCTTTTTTTTAATTTTGGATATTTTAATAATAAAGAGCAATTCACTCAAACAATTCAGAAATATATTGCAGTCGTCAAAGAAATCGCCATATCAGCGAAATGACGAAATAAACAAAAAATTCCGAACACAATTTTTTAGAACAACTATTTTACTGTATAAAAATAATATTTTCATAAATATTACTTAAAACCAGCAGGAGCACAACTCAAAAGCGTAACGGTACCGCGATTTAAGATTTTCCAGAATAATTCTTGTATTATTTTATTGTTTGTTAATTTTACAACTTTACCATATTTTGCATACACTGGGGAACATTTGGTGAAAATTTGATTCAAATCGGACTGATATTGAGCGCGCAGTAGCGATTTTCCGCAAAACGCCAAAAAGGGTGTCCTGTAACCTTAAAAATAGACTAAAAGTAAAGGCTATATTTGTCCCTTTACGGAAAATGAAAAATATAAAAATCGACAGAAAAGTAAAGATATATTGGTTTTTGCTGTTGTTTGTCCTTTTTGATTGCTTTTTTGCTGTTTTTTGTCCCTTTACGAAAAAAAGTCGTTAAAATGGACGAAAAGTTAAGGGAATAACCTTACTTATTTGCTTTTTTTGCCCAGTTATGAAAAATGAAAAAGTCGTCTTATCCGTTTCAAGTATTGTAGTTGTTCCTTTTAAAGTTCGTTCTTCTGTTGAAGTGATTTCTTCAATTTCTTTCTTTTTTTTTAGTTTTTTCGTTTTAAATCACTTTGTTCTTCTGTTGAAGTAGATTTCTTCAATTTCTTTTTCTTTTCAAAAGCTAGCGATGAAAAATTAAAAGTGAAGTGATTTCTTCAATTTCTTTTTCTTTTCAAAAGCTAGCGATGAAAAATTAAAAGTCGTCAATCAAAATAGCCTTGCCTTTTTGTTGTTTTTTTGTCGCTTTACGTCAAAATGCACAAAAAGTAAACAATGAGACACATTTTCTCATCAAAACAATCACTTTCAACTGATAAAAACACGTTTTAAAACATTTTGCAAAGCGGGCAACCGCAGGCAAGTGGCAATCCGTGCTCAACAAAGGGAGAGCACAGGAATTTTTTAAATAAAAAAGGCCCAGAACTATTATTCCAAACTTTCTGAAAATTGTCGATAACCATTTATTTCTCTCATCAAAACAATTACTTTTGACTGATAAAAACATATTAACGGACACAGGGCTTCAGCACTTATTGGCTTAGATTGGATTAATTCCCCCAAGGGATAAAACATATTATTCAGAATTTATAATTTTCATGCCACATTGCCTGGAAGACGTTTTATAAACTAACCTTATTGAAATGATTCAAGACAGCGACTGTAAATGATTCTGTTTGGTATAAAATAATCTTTCTTTTCCTGTCATGTAATCCGGTTCAACTTTGAGGACTGATCACTGATCTAAATTCTCTTGGAACAAAATACCTAAACAATGAAAGATATTAATCTAGTTATTTGCACATATCAACTGACAACATATCTTATCTAACTGATAGCAGACGAAGGATGCAACAGAAAAATTCATATTTTTGTTTTTAAAAATGGGAGTACAACAGGATCCCCCATCTCACAAAACTTTATTTCTCTCATCAAAACGATCATAAAAACATGTTTCAAAAACTTTGGGTCAAATGCAAAGGGGGATCATAGGATCGTAAACAACACCATATAAGGATAGACATTCCATATTTGGAAAAACTAACGTTACGGGGCAGATATTCAAATTAATTAGTCATCGATGCAGGCTCTCAATTCAGCTTGAGAGCCTGTTCGCAGGCTAGGTGATCATAGGATTTTTTTTTTAAAATTCATAGAGGTCCAAACTTTCTGAAAATTGTTGCGAAACATTTCTCTCATCAAAACGATCACTTTCGACTCATAAAAACATGTTTTGAAAAATTTAATTGGGTCAAATGCACACAGGCAACCGTGGTATTCAACAAAGGAATGGGGGGATCACTCGAAATTTTTCAAAAATTGCCCCCAAGCCATTCCAAACTTTGAGTCAAAAAATGCAAAGGGGGATTCACAGGCCTTAATTAATGAAAAAGTTGTCAAAATGGATGAAAAGTAAAGGGCTAAAGGGAGTAAAGGCTATAGCGTAAAATTAAAAAAGCCCCAAACTATTATTCCAAACGTTCTGAACATTGTCGATAAACATTTCTCTCATCAAAACAATTACTTTCGACGGATAAAAACATGTTCACTGACACAGATTCACAGGCCTTAATGAAAAAAAGTTGTCAAAATGGACAAAAAGTAAAGGCTATAGCCTTACTTTTTTTGCTGTTTTTTGCCCCTTTATGAAAAATGAAAAAGTCGTCAAAATCGATGAAAAGTATAGGCTGTAGCCTTTTTTGCCGTTTTTTACTTCTTTACGAAAATGTCATCAAAATGAACGAAAAGTAAAAGCTATAGCCTTACTTTTTTGCTGTCTTTTACCCAGTTATGAAAATCTTTTAATCTTTGACACTGAGACACATTTTCTCATCAAAACAATCACTTTCAACTGATAAAAACATGTTTTACAGTCAAACCGGATGTTCTGTTCCCCTGAATATTGCCATATTGTTGGAAATATTGCAATTTTGATTGCGAGATTGCTCTGAGCAAGTTGCAACAGACATGATCAAATTGCAAGTTGAAATTCACAACCAGATTTGTAAACAAAGTCTATGATTGGGCCAAATAAAAATAATAGTTGGTTTCAGGTTTCCGCCCGACCTGTCAAAAATATGACCGACCATAAACATTTTATTGACTTTTCCCAGTAGAGATCTTAAATAGCCAAATATATAAATAGTCATTAGACTTGTTTATCTACAAATTATTTTGTTTGCTTATAATTTAATCATACAGTCATGTTAATCATAGTTTTACACAAAGAACAGTTGAATAAAATATTAAAAACGTATCTGAAATGGCAGCTACTGCTGAAAAAAGGCGAAAACGCCTTGATGTGTTTATTTCTCGCGAAAAACATGTAGCTCACGGGTTATCCTGTTATTGCATACTTGATATAAAATATTTTTTTAAATAAAATGTTTTTCCGACCTACCTACCCATATAAAACATGGCTGTGAAACCTGAAACCAGCAATTTTTTTTATTTGGCCTTGGCTGCTAGTAGCAGAGAAGAGCCAATCATATACTCTGACTCTCTGAGTAAATGGATTGGTTCTTCTTTGCTACCACTGTAGCAGAGACTTTGTTTATGTGAATTTCAAGTAGCTAGTTGTGAATTTCAACCAGCAATTTGATCACGTTGGTTGCAACTTGCTCAGAGCAATCTCGCAATCAAAATTGCAATATTTCCAACAATATTGCAATATTCAGGGGAACAGAACATCCGGTTTGACTGTAAATCGTTTTGCAAAGGGGCAATCACAGACAAGTAGCAACCCATGCTCAGCAAAAGGAGACCACAGGATATTTTTTAATTCTGAACATTGTCTACAATCATTTCTCTCATCAAAACAATTACTTTTGACTGATAAAAAATGTTCACTGACACAGGGCTTCCGCACTTATTAGTTATTGGCTTAGATTGGATTAATTCCCCAAGGGAAAAAACATATTATTCAGAATTTATAATTTTCATGCCACATTGCCTGAAAAATTTTTATAAACAAACCTTCTTTACACAATTCAAGACAGCAACTGTAAATGATTCTGTTTTGTAGAAAATAATCTTTCTTTTCTTGTCATATCACCCGGTTCAACTTTGATGACTGATCACTGATCCAAGTTCCCTTGGAACAAAACACCTAAACAATGAGAGATTTTAATCTAGTTATTTGCACATATCAACTGACAACATTTATTATCTAACTCATAGCAGACAAAGGATGCAACAGAAAATTCATATGTTTGTTTTTAAAAATGGGTGTACCGCAGGAAATTTTTTAAAAATTCATAACAATCCCCCCAGCTCGCCAAACTTTCTTTCTCTCATCAAAACGATCACTTTCGACTTATAAAAACATGTTTAAAAAACTTTGGGTCAAATGCAAAGGGGGTCACAGGCAACCCAATGGTAAACAAAGGACAATCACAGAAAATTTTTTTAAAATTCATAGACCCCCAACTCACAACAAACTTTCTGAAAATTCTTGAGAAACATTTCTCTCATCAAAACGATCACTTTCAACTCGTAAAAACATGTTTTGAAAAATTTGGGTGAAATGCAGAGGGGAACACAGGCAACCCTAGGATCAACAAAGGGCCAGGGGGACCACTGGAAATTTTCACAACATTGCCCCAAGCCATTCCAAACCTTCTGAACATTGTTGAAAACCATTTGTCTCAATAGTTTGTATGGACTGAGCAACACATGTTTTCAAAAATTAGGGTCAAATCTCTCTCAACACCTTCCAGCCATGGGTCATGATATGCATCACAGTATTAGTACAGGCAATCAAATTAAAAATATGTAGGTTAAAGAAAGCTTGACTGCTTGACATAGTGTAGTTCAAACTTGTGTAATATTTTTAATAGGAAACTGTTACCCAGGAAGTTTTTGCTGTTAGTGGATGTAAAATACTATTGAATACATCTTCAATCTCCAATTGTTTTATCCAATCAAAAGAAGTCCATACTTATAACACTAGACATTGTGTATCCAATAATTTTTATGTTGAATACTCAAAACTAACTACTATAAATAACATCCTTTGTAAAATCAGGTGTTAAAATTTGGAATAGTATTCCCACTGATGTTCGAGAGTTGGGTAGAAAAAATTTCAATTTGAAAATTCAGAAAAGTCTTTTAACCATATTTGAGATTGAGGACGATTATGCCGATGTGCCCACATTAATTAGATATATGAGTAAGCATGGAAAATAGTACATCCTTCGAAATTAATAGGAAATTAATAGGGAATTAATTCTTCTTTGTGAAAATGATGTTTTGTGCTGTCAGTATACTGTGTCACTTTATATTATAACCGAGCATATCTTATAATTCTTATTTAATCTCATTCTACTATCCGCCCCGATTAGCTTTGCTATTAGCGGATAGTATTGTATATACAGACTGTTTATGTATTTATTAATACAATTTTATTTTTATTTTTTGATACTTAGAACTATCCAGGAAACCAGGTTTGAATCTTTGAAATGAAACATTCTGATAAAAAGGTACTTTTTCTTGCTAATTTTCGCTGAAAAACAACGTCCTTTTGAAAGTTAATTTATCGTGCTTGGCTTCAACCAATCGTAGGACTTGATCACTGGTGTCTTTGTTCCAGTTTACTTATAGATCACTGATTAGGCACTATTGGGCATCCTATGATTCTAATTAATGGTAAAAACATGAGAAAACAAATGTGATGTTTTTTTATGGAGCAAAATAGATGACTTGAATTGACCTGGTAATTCTAAAATTACTGTCAACTACTGTACTTTAATAAGTCCTTTGTATGTTTGCATGGCGATAAAATATAAGTTTTGTTTGTGGAAACACCATGTAAATTTATTACTGCAAAGCTTTCGATCTGTAAGCCCGGATTTTCATCAGTGCTATTGACATATTATTAGCACTGATGAAGATCCGGGCTTACGGATCGAAAGCTTTGCAGTAATAAATTTACGTGGTGTTTCCACAAACTAAACTATTTTACTGTACTCTTAGTTTTAATCATGTGAACATTTGATACATAAAATCGAACCAACATATTATATCAGACTTCAACATTTCTTGTTTATTAATTTCGTTTGTAAAAACTTGGAGGATTATTGTAGATCAAAATCTCAAGTGAAAATTTTTAATATCTAAATTGTCCGAGGGGGGAATCCAACCTCATACACAGGGTCTTTCCAACCTGGGAACGAGGTTGGGGTCTTTCCTCTTGGGGAGAAAGAACATGGTAGACACTGGTCAAATGATCTGCTAAAATCTAGCAGATTTCTAATTAACTATCTTCTAAAGATTCCTTTATGACAATCATACAAAATGCAAATTATAATGAACCCATTGAAAAAGTAAAGTAAAATCGTCTGGTGTTAGACAGAGTAAAATACTAAAGTAGGGTACAATGGGGTGCATTGCCACTAAAAGGGTTAAATTATAAACATCATCCAAATATCAAACATTTATTGACCTCATCTTGGATTGCTAATTAAAAATCTGCTAGATTTTGGCAGATCATGTGACCAGCATCTGTCAAGAGGAAAGACCCTAGGTTGGGGGTAACCCCAGGACAAGGTCAGGTAAATGTGGCAGCCCTTGAAAACAAGGTCGGCATTCGGCAGTGTTGACCTAAATGCCGACCCATTAACCTCCCAGGTCGGCAAATTTTTGTAAGTATATTTATTGATGGCAGACAATGCCGGACAATGTGATAATCATTTGAGGCATAAAGTTTCTGAAACGTTCTCTGATCGTAAATTTTTATTTAAAACACGAGCTTTCGACTGCCAGTCTGCAGTCTTCGACAGGTAAAGTGATATTAAATCATATAAATTATTCTACGGATTAACTACAAGGACAGTGGTTTACAATTACAATTACAACTATAATGAAATGCAATAAACAATGAGTAGTTCCACCTATATGTAAACTCAAGTGAAACGAGTATACTTATAAATATAAAACTATGTCTATGATCTGCTCTTTTTTAATCAAAATCTATACTGTTCTGGTAAATGTTGCGCATTGTTGTCAGAATTGACTGTGGTTGCTGTATGCCAGGACTCCAGTGTTGCTCTGTGTCGATAGGTTGCCTTGTCTCAGATTTCGCACTCGTCAAAGTTGATTTTATGATCCTGAGTCCAAGCATGTTTTGCTATGTTTGAGCCGGATTTAGATTGTTTCACGTTTCTTTAATGTTCCTTCTTCCTCGTTTCAAAAGCTCTACCAGTCTCACCTATGTAGCTCCGGGAGCAGTCTGCGCAATTAATCTTGTACACAACAAGTGTTAAATAAAAATTTACGATCAGAGAACGTCTCAGAAACTTTATTATGAATCCTGGTCGCGCATCTAGCATTTTTAACATTTGAGGCATGTTTCATACTTCTATTAAATTAATAATTTATAAATTAATTGTTTGTTTTATCGTTGTTGTACTGTGCACAATATATAATTTATACATTTTTATATGTTTTTTGATCGACAATTAATATTGTAATTGATGCAGGACCCCACTGAAAACATGTATAGGTCATGTGGGTATCCTGCATAAATATAAAGAGTTAAAAAAAAGAAGTTAAAACTGACCTACCCTACCTAAGTTTTTACATGAAGAAATAGGAAACCCACATTTTTTTGGCCTAGGTGCATTAGACAGGGTAATTTGGAAGTATTGGTGCATAATGTACTCAATGGATTAACCACGCTATATATATACATATATATATACATATATATATATATATATATACATATATATACATATATATATATATATATACATACATATATATATATATATACATATATATATATATATATATATA